CAAGAGGATGTACCTCATGGAAGCACGATGGTAACTAACTAACTAGTCTACGCTCGTCTTTCACCTCAGTCCCCAACGAGAGGGGACAGGTCCTTGTTTCTCCGCTACCACAGGGAATGCCTCCTCGTGGAGTGACCGGGGGCGCAGTGGCCTAATCCGGATTAAGACTAAAATGTGTGATCATCAGTTGCTGTTGCCGTGTTGGAGCTGTCGATTCGCTGGAGCAAGTTGCTTCTGGAACTCTGTTCGGGCCAGGGTGGTAGATTCAAGCCATCGCTTCGTCTTGTCGATAGTGAATGTAAGGGTGTGGGTTTTGGTAGAACGACGGTAGCTCATTGTGCCAGCAGGGACACGAGAGCCACACATGCAGAGGTGGCGGGCCCGAAGAATAGCTAGGCTGAGCCGAGCATTAACGTAGCCACGCACCACTGAGTAAGGGCGTTCCCACTTTGCAGCGAGCAAAGCGGAAATACGTTTTGCGAGTGCCTCAGCTTCGGCCCCAAGGAGACCATCAGCAGAGACAACAAACGGAGTAAAGTGGCGGCGTTGGGAAAGACAGGCGTCGAGATACTTGCGTTTCTTGTCACGTTCGCCATTGCGAAGGACCTTGTCAGTATCCTTGCGACAGTGAGAAGCAGCATCAAGATTGATGACACGAACATCAAAAACATGTACGGTCCACTGGTAGTGATGGGCAAATACACGTATTTTAAGTTTTGATACGTATAATACTGTATAATACTGTATTATACTGTATTAACCTATGGTCTGTCCGTCTTCCCATGCACATTATGTTGTGCATTCTACGGTTCGAAATAGTCTCATCAACAAGATTGTGAAGATGCTGCTCTATTGCTATGTCAACTTGAGGCTTTCAAAGTCTCTTGAACCATTTGGGAATCAGTCGATGGCAGCTTTTGCAGAGCTCTTACTGCTGATTTAGACCAGTTCTTGGTAGATCTAGGCCTTGATGAGGATCTAGGCCTTGGTGAGGATGATGCAGCATCTGTAGCCAAGTCTAGTGGGCCTTGGGAGGGTAAACTGGATAGCTAAGACCTCCAAAATTAGCAGTAGTAGTTAAATACGTATAATACGTATGTATTGAAGTTGGGACCACGTATTATACGTGTATTATACGTATGTATCAATGGGTGTATCAAAGGGGTGCCCATCACTACGGTCCAGAGCCTCTCCCCTGTTGGTCACGGATAAAGGCATTCGGGACTGGGCACCATGCCAGGTCCAACGTTCATCTCCAGCCGATCAGTTAACCGTTGCGTCATTGTTGTTGCTTGACCTTCTTGACAAAGAGGACGACCAAGCGCACAGTCAGTTGTTAATCCTATCATGGCTTTAAGCGAGATCAAGAAGTACGAGCAAGATGGCGGAGAGGCCAAGGAAATAGCTCAAGTGAGTCAGTGATTAACCAGCAGTATCTGGGCCGTGGAACCTGTTTGCTTGGATACCCCTCTTTTGAGGTTTTAGTGGTCTGTATTTCATCTCACACTTTTATATCTCTGTCGTACAGTACCTCCCTTGGTTTCCCTTCAAAGGAATCCCTCGATTCTATGACATTGGTGGTTTCCTATACGAGCCTGCAATCTTCCAAAAGGTGGTGGATATTTTCGTGGATCGCTACCGAGAAATTGGAATTGACTCTGTGGCTGGATTGGATGCCCGTGGCTTTATTTTGGGACCTCCCATTGCCCTGGCGCTGAAAAAACCATTCATCATGATGCGAAAAAAGGGGAAAATGCCCAATACAGTCAGCAGCGACGACTACAAGACGGAGTATGGATCCCGTTCTGGATTGACGGTACAACGCGACAAAATCACAAAGGGACAACGCGTCTTGATCATTGATGATCTGGTGGCAACTGGTGGAACCCTCAGCTCCGCCATTTCTCTCGTGAAAATGTTGGAAGGCATCGTCGTGGAATGCGCATGTGTGGTGGAGCTCAAAATGTTTATTGATCCTCCCGCTGACAGCGGATTGCCCAGTCGAAGCAAATTGTTCAAAGATTTGGGCCACCAAGATGTTCCCGTTTGGGGGCTCATTTCCGAAGACATCCTCACCAACAAAGCAAGTCTTCCTGAGGGGTATGTGGATGACGGAGAAGAGCATTAGCCAATCAAGTAGCAGATAACTACTGAGGCGAAAATTCTGTGTTATAGTTTTGACGTTGAAACGACTATTTACTTTCCTCCATTGACAACAATTCTTGCATCTTCTACTAGCTACTGGTAGTAAAATCTGTTCTTGCGAGGTGACCGTCCTCTAACTACCTGTACATGTAATGATGCTGGGAGCGAGAACGATCTTCAAATCTGTATCTATAGTCATGATAGAAGCAACACAAACTTCAAATCTGTATATTATTTACTTCAAAACAGTACACGAAGTACGGCATGCATTATTTGTTGTTGTAGAACACGACGGTGGCCGTCCGACCTGCCTGGAGTCCCAACATTGAATGAATCAAACTATCTATCTCTCCTAACTAGTTTCGGTCAATGACTTGTGCAGACTCAACCTGGGTCAGGATCAGATTGCTAACCTTTTCGCCTTCTGCTTCCTTGACTTTCAGAACGACTTTTCCATTCTTGTCGATAGTATGAACTTCAATGTAGTCCATGCCGGGGGCACAGCAAAAGACTCGTTGAGGACAGGGAGCCTTCGTATCAATCACTTCAATGTCATTCACACGTGATAGATCAATGTTTTTAAGGCTGTACTTGAAGCAGCAGCACATGGTGATGGGGCCAAGAGTAACCGGTGTGACGGTCTTGATCTTTAAGTAACCCCGGGTGAGTTTGTAGGTTGTGGGGTCTAGTGGAACAAAACAAACGCAGAACAAAGAGAAACGCAGATTAGCATTGGAACTTCAGCACACACACCAATCGTCGAGTGCAGAGATGTTGTTGTATCGAAGGACGCACCATCTGGGAACAAACCTGCGCACGTGCAGCACATTCGTTCTGCGTCGCTGTAGTATTTGAGTTCCTCGCCATTCCAGATCGCCTTGGTGGTATTGCAAAAGCGAGCTTTTCGGCCCATCGTCATCATAAGCTGCTTGAAACGGAGGCGATCGCCTACAACAATCATTCCCATATCTCTCAGATCTTCATCGGTCAACAGATGGGCAAACTTTCCCGTGATTTTGTGATCCAGCACCATCTTCTTGTACGCCATCAATCCGGCGCTGGACAAGAAATCTGCCAATTGTTGAGAGTCCCATTTGTCGAAATCTTCGGCATTGGTTCCAAAGAGTGACCCGTCTTCCATGTTGCCGTAGTCTCCTGCGGCGGAACTCGACCCTGCTACTTTCTTGCCCGGCATCTTGATTACGCTTTGATTGATTGATCGATCAACTTTCGACGACGCAAAGCTAAGGACAGAGCAAGCTCATCAAATGCAGTTTTGATTGCTGCTGTTGTACAGCTGTGGTGGGCTACGTTACGGAGAGGTGGTTGCAGATAAGTCTCTCGGGTGTGACAGAGGCTGGTGGTTTAGCACTTAGCGTTCAGCGATGGGCTCTATTTCGATACTTAGCTGAGCTTTGTTGCGAGCGATTTTCCGCAAGGTGAGCCTTCAAGCTTACTCCTTGGACTGTGACCTTGCTTGGCTCGACTGTGACTCGACTCAACTCCTCCTACCGTGTGACAAGGAAGGTTCGTCGCGGGAGTTGAACTAAGAAGGCGAGTCACGCATCGATTTCAGCCCGAACACACACAACACAAACACAAACAAGCACCAACAAGCATCAAGATCACGCACTCCCGCTGCTCATTTAGGAGGCACACGTGGGTTTTCGGTGCTTGTAAGAGCAGGCAACGAATCCACGCTTTGTCTTTTGGCGTGGAATGAGTCTTTTGCAGGGGAGGTGCGCTCACAAAACGCGTGCATGGCCACATCTGAAATTTGTTCTTCAAGCAAAAAATTGGTCGTTTGAAAGGTTGAATGATGAAGGAGCTCTGGGAAGCAAGCAAACGGTCAGAAATTGACCATGACGGTGGACGCAGACTACGAAGATGGCTTCTATGGCTATGAGGCAACCACTAACGACCCAGGATTGATCCTTTTGATTGGTACAATCGCGGTATGCGTTGTTTTCAATGCCCTTATACCATGCTTTGTGGCTTTTGGCAGCCAGCGAGATAAGGCTCGGCAAGCCCAAATGAAGGTGGATCCATGGGCCATCAAGCCTGATGATGAAGAGGACGAGAAGAAACTGAATTTCAGAACGGCTGCTCCGTCTATCCGTTCAGTTTCAGAATTCAGTCAGTCGATCCAGTTTGGACCCGGCCGATCGTTGTACAATCGACGCTCTGTTCGAGCACCTTCCATGGTCTCCATGGGCTTGAGATCTACTGTAAGCGGAGCCTCCGTGGGGACATCCATTGTAAACCAGTCTGTCGTTACTGGCTTGGGTGGAAGACGCTCTAGGAACCAACGACGTTTTCGACGTGCCCTGGAAAAAAGAGAGATGCAGTATGAAGCAGGCGTTGAGGCTGACAGTTTCTTCCGATTCAACCAAGCCACCTTGCCGAGCGAGCGACCACAGCCACTTGATGACGACCAATCCTGTCTTAGCAAAATGGATACCGACGAAGTTTCGGTTAAGAGTTTTACCATGGACGCTGACAATGAAGACTTTATTCCAAAGCAATTCTTGTACGCGGAAGAAGATGAAGTCGAAATCACCTGCTGTGGCGTGGACGCATGGTGGAAGCCCAACTGGGCCATCACGTACTTCGATAGAATTGTGGCTCTTTCCGAGTGGGATTTCGAAATGAGAAAAATCATGAGGCTGACGATACCATTTGTTGCGCAGGCTGTGTTTACAGGCCTGCTGGACGTCATGACTGTTGCCATCATCGGAAAACTGATAGGCACAACCGAAGCTACATCTTACGTTATCGTGGATATGCTCATTGGGCTTACGGACGAGTTTGTCGGCGGTTTCATCAGTGCATTGACTACACTTTGCAGTCAAGCTGCGGGAGCAAACCAAAACAAACTTTGCGGACAATACGTGCAAATGGCAATGATCTTGTACATTTTGTTTTCCTTGCCCTTTATGTACGTTTGGTGGGCTTATACCGAGGATGCCATTTATTGGCTTGGATTCGATGAAACCGCTGCAACCATGGGCAGCGAGTTCGCCAAGATCTGCATCTTTTCTACTTTGGTGGAAGGCATCAATGAGACTTTGCACAGTCTGTTAGAGGTCATTGAACTGGAAAACTACAGTACGGTGGTGGGGATTTCGGAGGATGTCCTCGGCTTCGTGTTGGTTCTGCTGGCGGCGCTCCTGTTTGAACCCAGTCTCTTTGAACTCGGTTTGATTCATCTCGGGCTCGGGGTAGTGTTCCTCCTGTTGAACATTGCCTTTATCTGCGTGAAAGGATGGTTCAAGCCGTACCTTTCTGGAATGCTGGGTACTTTCGCTTTGTTGAACTTCAAGGCTGTTTGGCTGATGTGCAAGACAGCGCTGGCATTGTCCGCGGGGTACCTGCTAACTGATGGAGAATGGGAAATCATGACTCTTCTTGCTAGCTTTTTGGGCCCTGCAGAAGTGGCCGCATGGACTCTGATTGGCACGGTGTGGGGTTGCATAGAAGCCCTTACAGAGGCCATTGGAGATGCTGCAGAGATCCGATGTTCCTTCCTTCTTGGGTGCGGGAAACCCACCCATGCTCGAGTGTCTTCCTACAAGAGCATGCTCATAGCTACTATCTCTGCCTTTCTTGTTACATCAATCCTGTTTACAATGGGAGAAGACATTGCAACTTGGCTAACGAATGATCCAGTCTTACAAAAGATGATCGTCGATGTGCTACCGCTGTTCGGCCTAGGAAACATAACCATGACTGTTGGAACAGCAAGCTGGACTTTGCTTGGAGCGCAAGGGCGATACAGGCTGGCAACTACGGTGGCCTTCCTTGGCAGTTGGCTAGTGACGATCCCTTTGTCCGTGCTCGCTAGTGTTGCCCTCCACCTGACCTTGGAGGGTCAAACTGCAGCTGTCGTGGTCGGCTACATGGCATCGGGGACTATCAACGCCTACTTTTTGTTTCGATCGGACTGGGAACAGATATCACAAGCTGTGATTAACAACCATCAAATGGAAATGGCAGCGCCGCCAGAAAAGGAGGATCCAAGCAAGGATACAAGTGATGCGGCGTCGGTGTCATCGCAGGGGTCCGCAGCAGTGTCGGCGTATGCTGTCGGCAGAGTGCAGCACGCATTGCAGACTCCTTAGTTGGGAATCGAATCATCAATCCTCTCATTTTCCAATATCAATCTTCGGGGTCCCCTCCATGAGGGATGAGGTCTCTCTGGCCTTGCAACTGATCGGCCAGTAGGTCATACCGGTATCTGTGGCATGCAATGTATGTCTGCTCGCCTATCGTTCTTACACGTCGTAGCCTTTAGATACAATGCATAACGTAAGTCAAATTTTTCAAAGAAAACTGCAAGTGGAAAGTTTGCTCTCAGCAAGTGCAGCAACTTGGCTAGATACACTACTGAGTATGGCATACTTGGTACCACCGCGCATAGGAGAGCTTCACGACACGACGAAGTGGTGGCTAACGACTGTACCACCGGTACCGTACCGGTACTGTACCGGTATCCTGAAACGGTGAGAAACGAAATATGTGGCCAGCCTCCAAATCAAGACCCATGGCCATGCGATCTACTATTTTTAACTTCATTTAACCGCGCTTTTGTCTTCGTACTGTTTGAGCGATTCTGGTTTTTTTGCATTCTATGTTTCTCATCTATTAGATTATGGTACTTAAGAGTGGCAAGTCAGGCTGTTTAAGCGATAGAAACACAGCGCGGGACCTCGTGGGGCACAATTTGTCGATTTTGCCGCCGCCAACATTTTCGTGATAGTCAAATGGCGAGCGTCCACCAGTGTTCAAAAGATCACCAAAAGGCAACACTTGGTGGTATTGATTGACAATTGCAACAGTTGAGTCGCATCTTAGTTGGGTTTCCTCCTTCGGTGTGTTTGTGTGCCCTGTTGCCGTTCCTTTACGATTGATTCGGCATCGGTACAATGAAGATGGAAGACCCGATTGTCAGCGAACGCAACAGCTGTGAACCAGAGATACTGGCTACCACGAGCGCAGAAAAACCTTCATCTCTAAAGGCGCGAGAACCTGAAGCTAAAGCTACGGTCAAATCAGAGGAAAAGATGGCACCACCTCAATCCGAAGAGGCGCCTGCAACCAGCGAAGGAGAGGCCGTGACGAAGAGTCATTCTATTGCCATGGCTCACTCAGAAGACAACACGGCTCTCCGTCTTGATACGGTTATCAAGGTATCAAGCGATGTTTCCGATACAGGCCTTGGCGCCGAGGAAAAGAAAGAGGACGACGATGCAGCTGAAGCTACACCCTCTCCAGCCCAAAACGTACCGATAGCAGAAATAGAGACTCGGACACCGCCACCGTCAGGCGAAGCCAAAGTGGAGACTACTCCGGAATCAAAGGAATCTGCCAAACCTGAGGAGGATTATCCTGTAGAACCCCCTACCCATGCGGACGAAAAGTCTGATGCGGTCGCTCCTGTTGCTGTCACTGAGCCGAAGGACGCGGCACAAACTGCAGAAGGAAAACCTGACGACAAGGTAGACATGGAAGGTGATGTCAAGACTCGCAACGACGCTTCAAAGGACGTTCCAGAGGAGTTGAAAACGGTTCCTGAGGGTGGTCCCGCTCAAGATACGGAGCCCATTGGAAAGGCTAAGGAACAAGAGAAGACCAAGGACACACCGCCCCAAGAAAAGAATGCCAAACCATCTCGTGACTTGGAAGATGTTTTCCCCACAGACGAGCAGAGTGACGTCAAGGAGAGTGTCGTTGGGAAAGAGGATGACCAGAAAGATGAACGTAATCGTGACGACAAAGAGGAAGAAAAAAAGGAAGATGATGTTGATGCCAAGGAACAACCAGGCGCCGACAAACACGTGGCATCCAAACCTTCGGAGTCCTACGATAGTGACAAGCCCATGGGCGAACCGGCCGTCACCACCAATCAGACAAAGTCGGACGATGATAGTGAAAAACCAATGATGGAACCAGCAATCACAACCAAATCCACTTCTGTGTCTGAAACAGAGCAAGCGGAGAAATGCACCAAGTCAGTTCAATTCGCGGACGACTCTATCGTAGATAAGATTGGCCAAAGCAGGAGAACCCCGTCAGGAAACAACACGGACGCTTTCTTTTCATGTGGACCTCTTTGTGGCAATTTTACGGATGTGACGGACGATGCAAAGCAAGGTAATATATTGGGGCTCAAGAAGGAGACAAGCCCTTCTCAACCAACAGCTGCTAAGCCCGCATTGAACACGGCTATGGAGCAGAGGAGGCCTCAGAAGAACGTTCCCAGAAGTCCTGTTGTTGTGGAGACAGTTGTTAGTGAACAAAAGGAGACAGCCCCCGAAGCGGAAGATCTGGCAGTCGAAAGCGAATTGGATGCTCCATCAGAGGAACAAGCTTCTGAGTCGGTTGTTAGCGAACAAAACAAGGAAGCGCCATCAGAAGTGGTGTTTCGCGAACAGCCGAAGGAGACGAAGGAGATCAGCAGCGTAGAGAACTGCCCGAGCGCCGGTGTAGAAGAAACGAAGGAGAACAGCGCTGCCCCTGCAGAACAACCCACGATGGCAGCGGTCAACGAGGTGAAACCTCAAGACAAGCCCAATGTTGAACCAGTCCAAGTGAAAATCACAGAGACAAACGCCGCAATTTCTCCCAAAGCAAAGGCCGCTGTCTCTCCCAAAGCAAAGACCGTCACGACCATCCCCAAGGACAATGTTGACTATGCAGACGCCATTGTAGAGAACGAACGCGAGATGACAGTCCAACAGAGTGCAACATTCGAGGTGCAGCAGGGCATGAGCTGTGCTGCTGTCATGACCTGTGGTGTCCTGTCCACGAAGCCTCCAAGACATATCCCACTTTCGCTCTCTCACGACCCTATATTTGATTTGAGAGAAGCTGCTGAGAAAGAGTTGGAGGCACGAGCTACCTTCTATGAAGAAAGCTTAGTGTTAGCTGCAATATCAGCCACCTCAGAAGCCAATGAACCTACGGAGGCCAAAGCCCACAATGAAGTGGCAACTGAGTTGCCGACCGAGGACGGCGATGGGGCTCCGGCAAAGGAAGCAGATACCAGCATTGAGACAAGCCCTGCTGACTCGAAGGCAGAACCACAACCAGTGGAGGGCTCGAAGTCCGCGGAAACGAAGGCAGACGCAGGGCCACTGGTAGAGGAGCAAGAGGAAAAGACGCCGCAAGGGGTAGCAACTCCCCCCAACAAAAGTGCTCAACCGACAATCGAGCAACATTCCAGTGAGCCCGAGCAACCTGCATCTGTCTCACCCAAAGCCGTTCCACCCAAAGCTGTCTCACCCAAAGCCGTCTCACCTAAAGCCGTCGTCGCACAGGTTCCTGCGAGCCCTAAACAAGCTCCGGTTCCAGTCAAACCAAAGCATCAGCACTCACCAAGGAAATCTTCGGAGACAACTCACGATTCAGCCATTGCCCCACAGGAGCCCGCGCACGAGCCCATGCCCACACCTATGAAAGGTGTCATAGTAGGAGAGGAAGAAGACATGACGGCTGCCAGCAGAGCACAGCAAGAAGCTTATGCATGCGGATGTACCATTCTCTAGAATGTTTGCTTGGAACAATAATACCATGGCTGGGGATACGCATATAATGTTGTTCACAGAAGTTTAAATATAAATATACATAGTTTTGAGTTTCTGGTTAGCTTCTGTCGCAGGCAGCCCATTCCACCAATGGTGGCGTCTTCCTGCTGCTAAATCATGGCCCGAGCATCTTCGGGACAGGTTCTTGCAAGAAAGTGAAGAGGATGGCAGACAGCAAATAATAGTGGTAGGTCGGAGTTCGCGGTGCGGTGTAAGCAAGGTATGTTGCAAACAAACGACCGCCACCCATGCATCCAAACAGTGGTTTCCCAGAGACTTGGATGGATACCGACCGCTATCTGTCCTCAGAGGAGATAGAATACACAGGAAACTTCTTATAGGATACTTAATAAATACGAAAAAAAAAAAAAACTGAAGTCTAATAACGGATCAGACGAGATGTGCTTGAGACTACCCACGAGCTAGGGCTCGGGTATTTCCCAGTCAAGTCTGCTCACCGGCCACACTGGCCTCCTGAGAGGGTGCAACGCCTGTTAGCTATCTAAGGATTTGTACACTGAGGTCAGAGCCATGATTCACCACAAATCACGAGCTCTTTGTTGAAGAGAGTTGGGGTTGGTAAAGAAGTTGAGGGGGTAGGAGGGGTAAGGAAAAAGGGATGGTAGGAATGTCCGACTATCCTGTTTCCAGGGCTGTGGTGTAGTGACTCTTGTAACACAGGTTCCCATGTGTTAAAAATTGAATGATGACTGTTGTATTCAGTTGCATGCGCATTCGAGTGGTATCTGGAATAGCATTCCAAATGTTCAGGGACTTCTTGCTGGTATGCTTGTAGAACTGAGTGAGTTGTGGATTGCTTGTGCTTTCTTTGCTTGTGACTTGGTCTCATGTCGTGCCCATGTCTGTCTTGGTTGCGCATGTCCCAGAGTTTCCACCATTCTTTATAGATAATGTCAATGAGTCCGTGAGCCATGTGAGTCCATTGTTGCGTTGGTTGCGGTCTTTTTCATGTTCAAATATCGTTCTTGTTCCTGACTAATTGTTTAGAGATTCTCCCCTTTAACAGATGATGCCATCCAATGGCATCTTGTGCTTGTTTCAGTGTGTCCATGAAGGATCTTCTTGATTGTTGTTGGGTTTTGGTGATGTAAACATACTTTGAGGCCTGATAGGAGAAGCCCTGGATTTTTGGAGAGGTGTCCTTTTTCTGGACATATGCTAGGACTGCACTGTAGCATTTCTCGCGCCATTTGATTCTTTCAGGGCTGCTGCATTCATCAGATGGTGCCTTGTTTCTGAAGGGTTGTTGCATGATGGGCATCCTGCATAATACTTGGGGTTTGTTTTATGAAGGAATGCTCCAACAGGTAGGACTTTGTTGAGGTATTTGACCATTGTTGGACGATGATTATCGTGTCTTCGCAAAGCTCTTCCATGTGCGGTCCAGTCAATGTCATTGAATGTGTCTTCTGACCAGTTGTAGTCTTTCATCAATTTTCTGTTTGAGCAGTGGGTAGGTTCTGGCACATTTCAGCTCTTGTTTGAGATTGAATGTGACTGTTCCTTGTTTCAGTTCAACTTGGCATCCACTGGTGGTAAGATGGGAACTCTGGTGAAGTCGGTGTCCGAGTGAGCTTGGAGCCATGTGTCGGCTAGCTTATCGGCATCTACATTCAGCTGAGCTTTCAGCGGGAGTTGGTCATATGTTTGTTGTCGTCTTGATGTCCCTTTATGTGATGGATTGAGGGCCTGGATGCTTCGTCGAGGTCTTCTAACATTGTGTGTCTGATTTCTGCAATGATGTCCCACTCAGAGCCCAGTGTGGTGTTGGGGTATATTTTGTGAAATATGTGTGCTTGGTGACTACTTCTCCGATGCTTTTGTTGTCACAGAGGTGCTCATGCTTGGTGAGAATCTCTTGTTTGTTGGGTGAATGAATCTTTTGGAGCTGTGCTAAGAACCTCATTGCTGAGAGGATTCCGTATCCTTCTGCTCTGTAGGAGTTGATTTTGTAACCGAAGGCTGGTCCACAGCAGCGGGCTAGGCGTGTGCCATCATGTTTGCTAATGATCCATGCAAATGAGCCTTTGGGGTTGGGTGATGAGCCGTCACTGGATATGATACATGGTTCGTTGCAGAGGGTTTCCCATAGTTCTGTCTCTCGACTAAAAGCTCAAGGTGTTCCAGCATTTTTCTCTCCCATTCTTCAAGGTGTGGAATGGCTTCCATAATTGTTGTTGGCTGTGTCGACTCTTGTGAGGCTGGTATGGATTTCCATCCTTCAAGGACCATAGATCCTGGTGCTCATCAACGGTGGCTGGGGTTGCTGATAGAGGTAGGGAAGTTACTGTGTCATTTCTGTGTGTATCGTAGCTGTGAATAATTGTGCATGCTTGCTGAATTTGTTGTCCATTGTTCTTTTGTAGATGTGGTTGGATTCTGGATCATAATAATGTGTCCATATTCTTCTCTGTTCTGCTAGTGGTACAGTCCAGGCTCCAAGTGGTTTGTTGAGGTTCAGGTTTCTCCATTACAGAGTAAGTTGAGGGCTTGTTTCCATGCTTTCCATGCTTTTGCATTGGTCGTTCTTGGTTAACTGGAATTCATCTGTCTGACTGACAATGTTTTTGAGATCTCCTGAGTGCATAGCTTTGTCGATCTTCGTTCGCAGGCTGTTGTTATGTCCGATAGCAGAGTAACATTGAGAAAATTCTGCAGTAATTGATTCGCTTGAGTCTGTCTTTTTGAATTTTCCGATTGGAGTACCAAATCCATTATGAAGATATATTTTGTCGTTGGGGCTTGGGATGTATGGGTTGGCAAGTTTGATGGTCGCGTCAATTGTTTTCAGATAGTTTCTCATGGAGGAGATCCATTTGGATTCTAAATGGTGGAATGTGGTTGGTTGTGTCTTCAAGAATTGGGGTTTGATGTGCCACAGCAGAATTGTGCCCATGCCATTGCTATGTGCAACATGAGTCCTGGTTGGGAGTGTGGTGATTTCCAGAACTTTGTGAATGTCCTGACTTGTCCGTATCCTTGGTCATCAAAAAGGTGGAACAGGCCTGCTCCGCCTAGGAAGAGTGGTCCATACAAAACATAAGGGAAGTCTTCCTGCTGTATCCCATTTTGGCAGTCATGGCTTGGTGTGATTGGGTTGGATTTTGTTGAGTTCCTTGAAGGTAAAGTGGCAAATTGGTAGGGCATAGCCCACACTGAGTTTGTAGATGGCCCAGTACATGCACTTGCTTCTGTTCTGGTGAGTGAGCATGTGTTAACTATTCTTGCGAATTCATCACACTTCGCCTTCAGCACTGCCTTTTGTTTTTGTTGGTCTGCAGGGCATTTGTGACATCCCAGGTATTTTGTTGCTTTGTTGTTCTCCCACTGGGTGATGGTTAGGGGTTGATTGTTAGAGTTTTTGACACTGAGGTGAGATGTTGGTTTTGTGATGAGTTCAGGTTCTCCTTCTTCGGTGAAATTATACTCAATGGCATGGTATCCACATTTGGGTAGCTCTAGGGCTTGATTGCATGTTTCCAGTAGGTTGTGCCAGAGTAGGATACTTAATAAATACGGTAGCACGCTTTTAGACTGTATGATACTCTGTTAGTAACCATCAAACGCTTGCTTTTTGGTTCAATGATTCAATCATTTGGCTTGTCTGTTGGATCCATTGCCATTGCGATTGCAATAGTACTGCAGTTCTCTCTTGTCTCTGTGCACTGTGCACAGGATTCCCAGGAGTGTCGGCTTTGCATCAACTGCACATCCTTATCCCAAGGCTTTCTTGGTACTGTAGCCTTCAGGTTGCCCATTTCCATCTCCCATCAATCCATCTACATTCTACATGCCAACGTGGCCAGTAGAGCAGTGGAGAAGCTGCTGGCTACGGTAGCTATCATTCGGTAAAGGTGGCTGTGGTACAGTCGAAGTAGGCCCAATGACAGTCAGAGTACCAGAGTACTAAGTCTTTTGGGCTTCGTACACTAAAGTGCATAGTGCATGTACGTGACACTCGTACACTGGGAGTCAAAAGTGTTGCACCGATCAGCGAGGATCCAGGCTTTACCGGGGCCACACGGCCATACAACGGCCAAACACGTCCAAACACGTTTCTTATTGATCTGTCTGAAACTGCAAAAAGGCCATCACTAATAGGAGATGCGGTAAATATACTTTCCATTTGAAACTTCAGAGTACATGTTTACCACAGCTACCTTAATATAACCGTCTTGGAGAAAGTGCCTCCGGAAAAAAGCTTCTACGAATAACCCTTTTGTAAAAGGGTTACTCTGTACTGTCTTGGCTTTGGGCACGGACCGTCGCTCGATACCGGTAGCACTCATCATTCTCCATCTTCTATCCATCGGTCTCCTTTAAAGAAGCCAAGCGCCAAGAGCGCTGCGGCACCGAACAACTTCTTCCCTCTCTATTAGCAGCTAGACCAGCTTTGTATGTATCGAGGACCATGCCTGTCAGCGTGGAGAAGAAGACTGTGAAAGTAAAGGCAAAGTCAAGAAGTAGCGACAAGGAAAAGCTGCGAGAGATAGAAGCGGAGCTGATCGATTATGGAGACTCGCAGGTTGGGAACGTGATTATCTCGGCTGCAGCAGCCACATTCCTTTTGAAGGGAGAAGACAGGCACCAGGTGATTAGCCTGACAGAGGACGAGACGTTTCGTAAGTACATATTTTGCTTCATGGGTAGACTCGACTCGTTCTCTCGGTGGATATGAAATGACTCGCCCTTAGTGGTAGGGTTCCAGATGATTGCTCATTCTCATCATGCATTTCTTAGGGACTTGTCAAAAGAAACTACGTTGTGAACCTCGCATGGCAGCTTTTGTTGGTGTTTTTGATGGCCACGACACTGACATGGCTTCAGAATACTGCTCTAAAGGAATGGTACCGCATATTTTGTCCGAACTGACGGGGCAATCAGTTCAAAGGGGTAGTCAGATGTGGAATATTATGGGCCCAGATAGAGCCAATGCTCCACTGGCATTTGACACAATAGATGATCCCACTCACTCTGATATGGAAATACCCTTTATTGCAGCGTTTCAAAAGGCACATGAAAGATTTGCCAACAAAATGGACCCTCCAACTTTTGACGACCTGAGCAAACTGGGAGGTACACCTATCAAAGTGGCCCCTCCAACGAGCCTGAACCCCATGCAGTGGATGGCGACATCACCGGAACCTCAACGAGGCGGGACAACAGCGTGTGTCATGTCAGTGGTATGTCAAAAGTTGTATTGCAACACGTGCGGAGCCCTGTTGGCTTTTCTCGTTTAGCTGTACCAACCCACCACTCATCCTTGGCTTTCCTCTCCAACCCACCTTGCCTGTTTAGTTCACAGAACTGGGAGAGGATCAACCAACTGTCGTGGTCGCAAACACGGGAGATTCTCGACTCATTACTGATGATGCCTCTGGCACCCACAGATATCGACAAGTCACCACGGACCATCGCCCCAGCAACCCTGCTGAGAAGAAACGTCTTACCGAAGCAGTGGCTCGGGGAGAAACGACGCTGCATCGTAGTGCGGAACATCGAGATGCTCGCATCTTTCCTGGCGGCTTGGCCGTGTCTAGAACGATTGGAGATAGTATGTTACTGTGAAATGGCTGGCGGATCGACTTGGTTCGCTGCTCTATCTCACACAAGTTTGCTCATTTTGTGATGTGGTTCTTCGGACATGACAACAATGCAGTTACCAGCAGCAAAAGCGTCATCTGTACGCCTGAAGTTGTGAATGTGCCACTGAAAATTGGCATCGAGGATGGAATGGAACGGACACAACGTTTTGTAGTGGCAACAGATGGTTTGTGGGATGTTGTTGAAAATGAGGCGGTTGGAAAAGCTGCTTCCAGGAATTCCAAGAATGCCACTGTCAAACGAAGAAAGTCTTCTGATGGCGTTAGTCGTAGCAAAAGCCCTGTTAGGAGAACTGGCAGCGTCACGTCATCAGCCAAGGAAGCTAAAAGAACCAGCCCCAAAGAAGCCGCCATGAAGATATTGCAGATCTGTTTGGACGCAGGCGGCAGTCGTGATGATATTACCATTTGTGTTGTGGATGTTACACGGGCACTTTGATTATGCTTCTTCGGCATCCACTGTACAAAATCAGCTATCATTTGTTTCCGGCTCTACCATACCGTATCTTCAATGCCTTCTTCTTGTACACAAGTGCCACGGCGATTGATTAACTGCAACGCTAACTCTTTTTTTGAAGGTTTGAAAATGATGAGAGCCTCAGGTTTTTCAAAAGGCAGTGTTGCCTTTTTGGTGGGATCCAAGCCTCTTTTCTAGATTCTGTGTGGGTTTGGTACACACTGACCGGCCTACTAGCTAGCCAGTAGTCTAGTTGTGTGGTTTTTATTGGCAGTAAAGGCGTGAGGGTGTCACAGTTTCGGAAAAAAGAAATTCCTCCAAAAAATGTTTACATTTGATCAGAAATTTCGTCCAAATTTACCATCCTTGATCAAAAGATCCAAAATTGCTTCACTTGCTTAATTGCGGAGACTTGCCTCTTGCCAACGAGACAATGAGACCGTCCTCTATCGGTACCGGTATCTTTGACACTTACTTCACGGTCCATACCTTGGGAAGCTGCCGCATACATCATTGAAACTCCTCACTGTAGAGCATGTTGGCACGGGTTAGCAATTGGGTAGGATGAAGTTACCGTAGAGAAAGCAGTGGCTACCGTAGGCAGCGCTATCCAACGTCACGGTACAGCTGTACATGTTTCTGCAAAGATGAGAATGAGACGTTGTGCTTTTCGCAGTAGACCCTCCCTGATGGTAGCTGCGTTGCTGGTTTGTGCCCTGACAGTAATTTGGGCACTGCTGCGACATCGAAAGTTGTTCAAGTTGGCGAGTACTGCAGCAATCCATGAAGAACGAGGCGATGGCGTCCTCAGAAGCGACGTCATTCAGGCAAAGGACATGCCTGAAGATGGCTCAGAGAAAACAGATCCGACGACTGCCTTGAAGATCCTAGAACCAACCTTTGAAGAGCGATTGTACATTGCCAAGCGGTTTGCGTTCAAGGTGTCAAATTTCAAGCTTCCAAAGCCCAAAAAATTGGCAGAGCAAATGACCCGATTGGGTGATTCAGAATGGTTTGTCCATCAGTCGATCCTCGAGAAATCGTTTCAGCAGAATGGTGGATGCGTAGTTTACAGCATTGGTGTGGCAGAACGTGATGCCTACACGACACTCATGGCTGCCAGGGGCTGTCAGGTGATTGCCTTGGATCCTACTGTAGAACATCCAACCCATTGGATGCCCAATGTCACGTTCTATCCGTGGGGATTGCGGAGCAACAGTGACGACGACAACGGGGGCAAAGGCAAGCACCAAGTCTGGAGCCACCCAGTGTATGGCAAGATTACCAACACAAGCGTAATCTATTCTCTGCCCACGATTATTGAAAAGCTGGGTCATCATCACAGCAAGGATACCAAGGCGATTACTGCCATGAAGTTGGATTGCGAGGGATGCGAGTTTGCAGCTTTTGAGGATCTAGTGACCTCATCGACGAGGATGCCTCCAATTCGCATGCTGGACGTGGAATTCCACTTTGCCTCCACCTTGGGAATGGCGAACAAGTTGGATGTGGCACGCATGTACTATGCTCATATCTATCTGAAACAGAACAAGTGCCAATTAGTACGACATCGAAGACACGCTGGGTTTGAAGTTGATCGCGACAAGGTACCGTCCATCTTGGTGAGTGCAGGTGTTTCCAGCCATCATTGCTGCTACGAAATGACCTATGTTTGTGGCGTTGACGATTGATTACGCCTGGCTGGCTAGGAGCCAATAGGTGCAAATCGTCGAAACTGCAACAAGGTGCCTAGTTAGTGGGGTTTGACTGTTCGATTTCCAAGCACAATCTTCGCGCATTCGTGCTGATCCATCACGGCTACTGAATAGCCTAAATGAAAGCGTTGCTACCTCTTGAGGACGATTCTGTATGGGCACAAAAACTGCGGCTAGCAACAGAGAGGTAGCAAATGGCATCACAGCTTCGTGGAAGGAGCTCTGGAACGTACTGCTGTAGAACACAGACCAGTCGAGAGGAACCCCACAGCCAGACCAGGCTGTCACGGTTCTTTGCCTAGCAGGACAAGTGAAGCCTGCAAAATTTGGCAGTCCTCTGCTCTTGTAGCTAACTTGCTAATGACTAGCTAGCAAAAGAAGCAGCATCTTTCGACGCAGTAGAACCGTATGGTCGAAAGGCCCGAATCGGCTATTCACATCCTCCTACGAGGCTTCACTTAACTGGGATGAACCACACCGGTACGAATCCTCCAGAGTTTGGAATCCTTGTTGCGAAATAGAGTATTTTTAAAGTTAACTGATGGAGGCAAGTCCCGAGGTCAAGTTGTATTGTTGTTGTCCTTTCCCCCCGACGCCCCTGTATTCATAGGTTTTGCTGTTGTTGTGTTGTTGTGGATGAGGAACCATAGCATAGCTTGCGCGTGAAGTTTCTTGTGGATGGGGGGCGGTTGACGATGATTGATTAATGCACTGGTTTTGTTGTCCTTTTGCCTGGATGGGTTTTCTTCTACCTGCCTTGCTGCTGCCTCTGCATATTTTTCTTTTGCACAATCATGTCTTTGCGCTTGGCCTCATCAGGGCGTTGCTTCATTCCATTGGTGCGTCCATGAGCCCCATGAGATTTGCGCTGGTAATATTCCTGTGCGTCGCTTTCTCCCAAGATTTCGTCCATTTCTTGTTCTGCCAGTGCTAACAAATCACCAGTGCTCTTGGCACAGCGTTTGATGGGTGTCACGACGTAGCGGGACTTGACCTTGTTTTTCGCACGGGGAATAGCAGCTGTCGTCTTGGTCTTTTCGGATGGAACATACTTGCTGGGTGTCAAGATGGCATCTTTGAAGGATACCTTGTTCTTGTTGAGCCATGGATTCTTGGCGTCTGAGCTGGCTGCCACGGAGGGTACCACGACAACGCTGGAGGATAGATGCGTCTGTGCATCCAGCAAGGAATAGTCCTCTTCACCATCTAGCACTCGAAGATCCGGTGCCGACGCGGAATTCTTTCGGGTCAGACCCTTCTTTAGAGGCCTGGGGATGGAAAGGACTACCTCTTCTCCGTTCTCACCCATCTGGCCACTGTCCGAAGGCGACAGCATTTCCCAGTCGTCTCCTCCTTTATCTGCCACTTCGGATGGGGTGTTGACTTGGGGAGTCCCCAAAGAGGGCCATTCTTCGGTTGTGCAATTCATGCGATTGGTAGATGGAGCAGCTGGAACTTTGATCATTAGAGCTTCTTCTCTTGTTTGGCTGAGCGATGTTCTTGTTATTTTACCCGTTGCTGGATTTGTGAGTGTCCTATGGAGAGACAAGGGAGATAGATAGTAACGTCAACAGTCCCAATGCGTTTGGTTGGTCCAGTTCGGAATTGTTCTTGGTTGTGGTCCATTCAGATATGTTGCTGTCCATCACCCATCAAATAATGGGGGTTCGCAATTCTCGCAGTGAAATGGACAGCCCCAGCAGATCGTGCCGAGGAAAAATAAATGAAGTGATGGTGCGGAAAGTGCGTGAGGCTCCAAGGAGATCTCACCAGCCTAAGTTAGTAGAAGAAAGATGTGAGTAAATTTTAAAAAAAGGGAACTGGTTTGATGCCAATTAGACAGTTTTACTCTGCCAGAAAACACTCTACTCTTGAGTAACTTATACGTGTAGATATATTTTGGTAGATATAGTAAAACACAGATGCAGCATGCAAGCCAGCAACTAAAAAGGGAATACAACACCATTCTAATCTCTGAATCTGCATGTATTGTTGTGGATAATTGCTTGCTTCTGATAGCTTTGGATCCACAAATACATGGCCATATATCCTCCCAACTTGCAAAGCCCACCAATACCAAGTCAATACAGGAAAATGAGTATCCACACAGGAATCACCACCAAAACACTACGAAATACCAAGGAATGATGAATCCAATAGAAGGATAAACTCTCCTCTGTGCATACAAGTTGCCGTGTAGCCTCATCCAGTTGATTATTGCCTTTCTTCCTCAGTCTGGGTCCTCTGTAAATAGCAACCGGTCGACACCACATCTATTTTGGGCAAAGTGGATATTATGGGGAAGGTGCACAAAATGCTGGATCAAATTTTAGCAGCTCTTTTATGTAGGTTCCTTATCATGTCGAGAGGCAAAATATGGGCAAACTGCACATATAAAGATGCCCAATATGCATCATGAAGATGCCTATTTGGCTAATACTTTTGTGCTATCAAGAGGGCAGAATATTGAGACAAGAGGGCTGAATTCAGGGCCTAATACCTATGCTACTATGGGGTATATATATTGTTCATTTGCATCTAATTGTTACTCTATCTACTAGTCATCCAATAAGTCCGCGACGACTTGGCCAAATCTACCAAGTCGAGGACTTGTGCATGCAGGAAAATGGGTACCGACACAGGAATCACCAACCAAACACTAGGAAATAACTAGGAGGGATGATTCCAATGGGAGGATCCACTCTCCTCGGTGAATTTGAGTTGTCGTGTACATCGTAGCGTAGCTTCCTCTTGTTGCCTTTTCAATGACTCGACGACGATCTCCACCGTTCAGGCTGGTGATAGGGCTTGAGTAAACAGTCTCATCCGTAGCGGTAGCCTCTCCTCTTGGCTGATATCATCATCCGAAGCGATCGATTGTTCCTTCGTTCGTCCTGGACAATGAGAATTCATCGGCCGTCAGCAGTACGAGAATAGAAAGTAAGAAATAGATATGGTTTTCTCTTCTCTTCTGATACTGCAGAAAACCAGTGACTTACCCTTGCTTTCAAATTACACCAACTTGGCCGTCATGGGCCGAGAGCTGACTGCCATCCCATGGTCCATAGGATTCAATGAGGGATGGCTTTCGAATCTACACCGGAGACGATCGGCTTGAGTGAGGCATGATAATAGAGGTGCGAGGATCGATTAAATATTAAAGAACAACTCTGTTGATGGCTGAGATCTGCCTGCCTGCCCATGGTCCATAGAAGTGAATGAGGGATGGCTTTCCAATCTACACCTTCAACAAACACACTTGATAATAGGCTTACCTCAAATCGAATCAATCAATCGATCCATCCGCTTGAATAAAGAACTCACTCACCATCGATGTCGTTGTCGGCCACAACAACAAACAAGGACAAAGAGAGGGCCGCCACCTTGCCACCACTTTCTGTCCTATGGTTGCTCCAGCAAGAAAGCATCTGTCTCTTCGGTGGCGCTTCATGTTTGTGGGGGAAGGTTGGTTTATACCCCCTGTTCTGTGACGACAACAACCATTGTGCCCCCTTTAGTAGAAAAACCATTACCGGGTGTAGATCGCCCCCATCTCTTTTTCTTCCCATAGCTTTTTCATATCAGATGGATTGATATTGGTCATGGCTACTTTAATCTGTGTACACTTCAATAGGTTGGTGCTTCACCATGGCTGTGCCAACCTTCACAAAAGCCTCCGTATATCTGATTGAAAAATTGGTCCTGCCACTGATATTTGCATAGTGAAGCCCTGCCAAAAAATGTTTTAACTAGCCCCCTTCGAAACCCCCATCATTAAGTCGCGAGGAAACCTCACGGACAGCTGCGGGTCGTTTCGGACTTTCAATTCAAGTCCATCAGATTTTCAAATTTCATCAATAAATGGAATAAAAGTATAGATAAAATTCAAATGTTTGCAATTTATTAAGATAAGTTTTCCACGTTTGTAGCCCACGGTTAGATTTACCTGTTTTTTTCTAACAAGGTCTTTGGTGGCTCAAGGGAGAGATGGGCAGGGTGGTGCTGGTCCTTCTCTGGATACGGTAACAATCGTGTTGATCCAGGTGTACGGTAGGGAAAGGTATACCGGTATACATACATGTAGGTCCAGGAGTGTTGGTTAGGTCTGAGGGCGGGTCGAGGGGCAGGAGTGGGGACATAATCCTTTGAAAATCAGGTAGTTGGTCAATCTTGCTACTGAATGGTGTATTCAAAATAGGACATCAGATCCACTTATTCCATTCCTAGCTAGCTAATTGTTGCATGCACATAATCTATAAGTACTCCTCAAGCCTTAGGTACGATCTCGCATGGCTCTTCTGCGCTGTTGCGTCCGGTACGGTATGACTTATCCTGGAAAGAATTTAAGAGCCTCCGCACGAGCCATACGTCAAGACAAAGTAGCCCTTCACTCATTCTTGATGCCAGTGGCGATCTTCTCGTTCATTCCGAGATCTCCAGAAGCTTCTGCCAGCTTTCGAGCCTTTCGGTTCCTCACAAGCTGTCTCAACATGTATTTGGCCTTCCTTTGTCCTTCAAATCAGATGGTGGCGCTTTCAAGAACATGAAAAAGGCAACAATGCATCCAATCCCCATGGTTTGTAAGACGTGAGTCAGTCGTCAGGATGTAATTGTCAAGCAATTCATCCACGCGATACTAGTAGCTCAAAGCTACAGTGTCCATGATGTGGGCAAAGATGATGAAGGACAGCAAGCCGTTCACCACGGTTGCCTTGAAAAGGGCATCTTGAAATCGCTCAGAGCTAGAAGTGCCTTTGACTTTGTAGAGACAGTACCAAATGAAGCTCACAAAGCCGGCCAAGAAGAAGCACATGGCCGTTTCAATGACGACGTGAGGAGAGTAGGGAGTGGGCAAATAGCGGGTGGCACAAATCCCAGCGATCGTCAATGCTTCTACAATGTACCACCTGTTCACAAAGTCCGCCTCGCTAAGGTCTTGTCGAAAGATGGGGTTGGACTCTGTGGTGGTTGCCAACGCCCACAAAAAGTCCATTCCCAACGTCAAGGCGACCCCGACCAATGCGAGGTTAAAGGCCAGGTCGTCAATAGTCCAGAGCAATGTTTCATCTTGAACGGGCGGTATGACGGCACCAAATCTTCCGTTCCAAAGGTACCAAATGGAAAAGATTGCTTCCAAGGCAGCAAACAAGTATACGTTTTTGCTGAAAGGTTGATTCTTTGCTTCCTTGGACTTTTGAACAATCATGCCAAGCTGCATCAACTTCACAACCGGGACGATTGTAGGCACAACCACATTGAGATCAAAGGGAGGATTTTCGTATACTGTATGGCGTATACCATGATGCCTGCGGTGGAGCTCGATCGAATGAATACTTGATTTGCTGGATCTCCCAGCTTAGACTAGCTAGGTCGGGGCAAATCTATTATGAGGAGCCTTGTCGGAGAGTAGCTTGATGGCTGGAAGTTTTGCGATACGGTGCCGGATTAGCACTTGATTGGCATCAAAAGATCTTTGACGACTGGGCATGGTAACTGTAAAAGTTTCTTGGTTGTCTAAGATCCAACTTCATTATGGTAAACCGAGAGATGAACAGCAAGAAACGAACCGACTGTTCGACAACGAGAAAAGAAGCTTCTACATCTACCGATTTCTGCGAGTGTCATTCAATCTACCGGTACAAGGAATCATTGGCTGGTTCCTCCAAATGCCACCACTCATCAAGTAGCAAAGCGAAAGGCAATTGCTTGGTGCAGGCTGCCGATCGAGCTCTGTGAACAAGTCCCAAGCGGCCAGCTCTTGTAGGACGAGCTCTTCCAATTGGCAAGATGACTGATGACTGCAGACCTCCAGTTGGCCTTCAAAGACAGTGGTCAAGAGCTACAGCAAGGGCACACTCACGTTGGGTCCACTCGTACTAAACTAAACTCAGTTGGATGATCAGCTGAGGCTCATTCGCTGGGAGTACCGACACAGTACCAGAGGCACAAGCGCAAAATTTGACTACAACATGCAGCATCGCATATCGCAGCAACACAATAGTTACAGTCGTACGGATCGGATGGCTAGAGAATTTATATTCGTTTAACGCTAATGACATACAAAAGGACTCAAAACAGTCACTCATGATGGCAATACAATATTGTGTTGCCAGAAACTCATCCCAGTTGAGCGGAGTGACTGAGTCCTCTGTCCGGGAATATCTTGTTGGGAGGCTCTTGTCTTTTTGTGTTGTGTTGCACCTACAAATCCACAGTGTCCTGCATTTCATAGGCACGATCAGGTGACACCATCTGCGATGGCGTGCTCATAGTTTGGAAGCTTCTGCGAATATCTCCCTTACTTAACCTCTTGGTGCGGATACGATCGTCGGGAGTCTGAGCAGCGGCGGAATAACTTTTCCCACGGTAGTTGTCGTACTCGGAGGAAACCCCGGAAACATCACTAATCGCGCTCCGCTCGGAGCGAGGACTCACAATGTTGCTTTCTTCCACAAGCACGTTGTGTTCATCAAAGATACTTTTGTCAAACACGCTGTGATGTCGAGGAGTTGCGGGTTCGGGCGAGAGGGGACGAGTTCCTGTGGAGGATGGACTATCCGCAGCTCTCTCTGCCCTGTAGCCGGCACGACCACCCAGAACGCTGGTAACGGACCGAAGTGTAACATTCATCTCTCCATGAGAAGGGCCATCCTCACGGGAAACGTTAGCCTTGGAAGGGAAAGTTTCAGGTTCATATCGAGTGGAAGGCAAGGTGACTTCGTCCAAGTTGAAGTGCTTGCCGCCCTTCTTCTTGTTGCGGCGTTGGTAATCGTCCAGGAGGTGGTCGTGGTTCTTCCACATATACACTGCTGCAAATGCAACAAGGGTAATGCATGCCAATATGGCAAAGGCAATGCCGAACTTGGCTCCACCGGATCGCCCACTTGTGTAGGTAGGGGGTGATTCAATGGGAGTTTCCGAGTTGTTGTTGAGCCCATCATCCCAGGCTCGTTGATTGGCAGGTCTATTCGATGCAATGAGTGCCGTTGGTGGTGCTTCATAGCCAGATACGAGGTTCAAGTCATAAATATCTGGATCGAGACCTGTAAAGTCCGTACTGGCAAGGTTCATTCCCACCGTCAAGGTTTCCAAGGCAATCGTCTCAATATCCTTGGGAGTGACTGTCATGGTTGTGTCTAGATAGACGTAGGTAGATCCAATCACCTTGTAGCAGATCAGATCGGTTGAGAGCAACGCCATAGTTGAGAACTCCGAGGAACACTTGTCCGCTGCTGTACCTCCCATCAGAACAATATCCCATTCGCCAACTCCTGTTCCTACGATAGGTTCCAGAGTCAATTGCAACTTGCGCTGATCATCATCATGGAACTTGGAGTATACTTGCTCTTCCATCAAAGCCCGCTGCCTGCGGGTGTTTCCTGGTTCAACAGACGTGGTGTCACAGTCTACAAGCCAAATGGCTAGAAAGTGCTGAATGGCCTTATCGACAATATCCGCGACATCCAAGATATTGCGGGTGGTACTCGTGAGGATTTCATACTGATAATAAACGGGTACGTAGGAAGACGTGTGGAATTCGGCTCCTGCTTGAGCCGCGTCGCACTTGTCTGCGTACGTGGCTAGTTGGGATGTTTGGGTAGTGATACTACCCATCGAGTTGGAAATAATCGGACTTGTACGGGTGGCATCGGCAGGAACCTCGTCGCCCTTTTTCCAGCCATGGATGTGTCCAGGCTCACCATGCTTTGGATTAACCCAGCCGCCCGTACCTGTGAAGAAGCCACCAGCACGACCACCATCCGCATCAGCTTTCTTGCTTTTCTTCGACTTGTCTTTGCTAGTACGACTGCTGTCAACTGAATGCGGATGCAAGCGACGCTTCTGGAAGTCCCCTCGGACGCCACGTTGTTTGTTGTTGGATCCAACAGCTGCTGTATCCACCATGGTGGTAGACCCCATGAAGAGGATCAACACTAGTAATAGCATTCCCATTCTTTCCATCTTCTGTTGGATACTAATAACTACGCTTGACGATGTGTGTGCTTCTATTGCTAAAGAAGTGAGACATGCAGCCGAAGCGATAATGAATGAACCTCAAATTTAAACAGTACCGCGGTACTCAATAAATACAGAGACACGGGCCGAAGCATCGGTTACTTAGGCTCCTCACAATTTTAGCTTCCTCCGGTTAAAAGTGCAAACGGCCACTTTTGTTCTTTTGTTTTGAACAGCTTTTGAACCCACCCTCTTATTAGCCAATGCAACGTTCGGAAATTCACCTTTTCTGTGAAAGAGGAAATTTTAAGAAGAGTTGAGTTTTCAAAGGTTGAACATTGAAGTGCAGGTACCGGTACCAGGCTAGGTACATGTAATGAAAGGCAGAACTCTAGAGAACATTCTTTCTTCGGCTTGGATTTTCGGATCGATGGTTGTTGCGTTGTTGCCACCAAGCTTCCAAAGACGAAACTGTGTGGTATCAAGTATGTTTGTTCATAACGAGGGGATCTTCTCACCCAGACTTTGCCTCTCCCAGAGTAAGCCATTTCTATTTGTCATACCGGTAGGTGGCTGTGATACCTGTGAGCCAAGAACCAGAAACGAGCGATCTTTCCACGTACGTGTACATGTGCAATAGTGCTACATAATCTAATAACGAATCAAGCTTTGGCTCGGAGATAATGTCTCTGCATCAATGCTATCCCATCTCTCATTTCGCTGCTGTTGCGGTTGGTACTGTAGTGGAAATGTTGAGAAACTCGTTTTTCAATATGTACCGTATCCAAAAACGCTGGAACAATCTTTGAAACCGTATCCTGTCGGTACGAGTGCCTGTGCCATTTTCGGCGTTGCGTCCCTCTCTACCGGTACTGCAAGCAGCGCTTTTAGTCGCAACAGCACCAGTACAGTTCCCTACCCAGAAGTAGACGGGTTGCTACCGGGAGCTACCGTAGCTGGCTGCAACCACCTACTGACCTGGACTACCAGGTACCGATAGCTACTGTACCGTGTCTAGAGTAGACTATTTGACTACATGTAATAGCTAGCTAGTAGTAAGGTAGACACCTGGACCGTCCAAGGGTTTTTGCTCAGGTTTAAAAACTGCTCAAATCGTGGTTCTGGTTAAGGGAATGTTAAGGGAATGTTGAAGCTTTAAGGGAATGTTAAGGGAATGTTAAGGATTTAAGGGAATGTTTTAAGGGAATGTTTTTTTTATTAAAGGAATGTTCATTTTTTTAAGGGAATGTTCTATGGGGTTTACATGAAGGCTAAGAGGAATGTTTCGAAGCGTTAAGGGAATGTTGTTAAGGGAATGTTGATTTAAGGGAATGTTAAGGGAATGTTAAGGATTTAAGGGAATGTTTTAAGGGAATGTTTTAAGGGAATGTTTCAACTGCAAAATTTTGAGTTTTTTTTAAACCTGAGCGAAAACCGTGGGACGGTCCAGTGTCCAGTACCCAGTACCGTCCTGGTACTGGTAGTCTAGGTGGTATGGATGGGGAAGTGAGAATCTTCCGTTTCTTCCTCAGGGTTCGAGTTTTCTAGCCATAATCCAATGCTACCGTTTGCCGCCGTCCGCGCGAGTGCGACCTGCTCCTTCCAACTTTCAAAAAATTGCCGCCTCTCTCACTTCATTTTTTTCGAAAACATCACATTTCTTCTGTTGTTTCTCGTTCTGATACCTTGCCTTCCCACGGCTTGTTTGAGTGGTACCAGTATTGGCAATAGGACTTCATCGACTCGACTAGACTCATCAACATGCCAAAGGTCAAGCCAACATGGGTGTGCCAGAGTTGCGAGCGCCAGTTCACAACCAAGTACAGCTTGATGCGTCATTTCAAGCGCTTCCCACAGCATTCGCCTCCTCATCTCAGTCCAACTGACGGCGAGATCAAGCCGATCACAGTCCAAATCAACGACAATGTTAGAACTGTGACCGGCATTCCTATCCAATTGGCTCCCGGCTCTGCTTCCTCTCATGGACATGGAACTCGGTTTCGGCAGCACAAGCATCAGGAGATTTCCGAAGAAGAGGATGCTGTCATGGTAGAATCAAGCACTTCCAAGAAGAACTCACAGCAGCAGCCAATGAACCATTCGACTGGACACTCTGGACGCCGTTACTCGCTTCACAACGTTTCCGACATCGAAACATCGCCATCTTCTTCCGAGTTTGATTCTCCTGCCGCCAATGATACTTCTACCGAAGAAATGTCCAACGACGAGGCTCCCAGCACCAAGAAGAATCAGCACTATCCCTTTCTCCCGCCATTCTTGGAAGATGAACAGATTCTGAACATTGCTACCCCTCAGCAGCCACTACAGCAGACTGTCCATTCTCCACTCCCTCCATCTGGAGCTCTATCTCCGGCTCCTCCATCGGCCGATCCCAACCGACTCTTGTCCTCTCCCTTGGCGGCACACTACAGTTGGGTCTTTGCCAAGGACACTACCGCTCCAGAACCAGGACAAGCTTTTCTCAGTCCATTGGCACCTGCTTGTACGAGTACCAACTTCCGTCAGGTCTTTCAAGAAGAAGAGGAAAAACTAAAGCGATTGGCGGCATCCGCAAACAAACATGTTCGTTCTCCTGTCGAGTTGGCGGCGCTAGACAAGAGTCTCTTGTTGGGAGACGAAGAAGCGACCAGTCCCTTTACGTTTATGGAAAAGACGTCTTCTCACGAACCCATCATCCCCGTGGCAGCCACCGCCCTGGACTTTCTTTCGCCACCCTACCAGTCGGCTCGTGAAGTCAACATGGATGACTTGGACCTGGGACGCTTCTACGCGCCCATGGTATGACGGAGAGAAGCAGCTTTGATCACGCTAGTCAGGCTCGTCTGTGTCAATGTGTCTGTATGTTTGTGTTTGCTGATGAATACTGTGTCTATTCCATTTCATGTTGTACTTTAACGGGGGTTGGGGAACCAGATCGGTGGTTGTGAGTTGAAAGATGGTTTCGAAGAATGATCCTCTCTATATAATACATATGTTGCATTCTTTAGTAAGTAGGAAAGATAATAATAAGTGACTGACAGGCGTCGATACTTGCATAATAAGAAGCTTCAGTTAACCCATACTTACTAATGTAGTAGTAGCATAGATGCATGATACACACACACGCCCGAAAAGTGCCGGTACTATTCAAGTAGGAGTCAAATGTTTCCATCGTGAATCATTCCTTGGCATTACTACTAGCCAGCTAGTACTTCTTCTCGTCGGGCAGACACCGATACCGGTACCGCAGCAGGATGAGAGTACTGCACTGGTACGATGTACACTAATGGTTGGTTGGCAGTGCTGTTGGAAGCATCAATTGTCGCTGGGTTGCGAGCAAAAGCTGCCACTGCACTCACTGGTCCGACTTGCCCGGAAACCCTACAAACAACTAAAATTCCTTGTAGTCTAGTGATCGTAAAAGTACTAAAAGCGCTACTATCTTATACAGTTCTATATTGTAGGTAGAACGACAGGTTGCAGATCAACCTTGGACCATGTCTTCTCCATCTCATCAGGATCGGACACGAGAAATAATGCTTGCAGCCACCACCACATTTCCAAGTCACACATTTTAAAATATGCAATACACTAAGCCGAGAATCCATCAATTAAAAAAGGAAGCCCCTTTATGCAGAAAGCATTTCTTGTTTCAAGACCACACATTCTTCCTCTACACATGTACCTGTTGTTTTCTCGTCGTCGTCGTCATCATCATCGCCATACCCAGCATGCTAGCTCGTTTCGTTTATTGGTCGTCATTGTCTGCAGTCTCATCTTCTTCCGATACCACCACTGCATTCTTCTCGTTAATCTCTCGCCACTTCAATGCGCGGTCTCCAATTTCCTTGGCAATGTCGCGTGCGGCATCCGGAGCTCCAATCTTCTTTGCAGCTTTGCTCAATGTGGCCATTTTCTCATCATCCAGGAGCCACATGCAAAGTTCCTCGGCAATGCCGTTGGGATCCCTGTCACTGCAGAAAGCACCAAACTCATTGTCGACTACAAAATCCACGTTTCCCTCTTCTTGACCCGGCAGGTAGGATGTCAACATGACTGGAAGGGATAGCGCCGCGGCTTCGACAATTGTTCCTGGACCGGCCTTGGAAACAAGGACATCGGCTGCCACCATGTACTCTGCCATTTTGGTGACAAAGCCAAGACCAACAACTTTGACTTGACCGGGGAAGTGGTTGCCATTGCATTCGCTCAGGTCGATACTAGACTGCCCCGGTATAGCAACCGGCGATGACTTTCCAGATCCAGAGCCCGACAACCCAGCGTCGAGCATTTGTCCATTTGCGTCAATTTCAATCGAACTGCCCTCCGCTTCGTTTCCGGCATTGTCGCATTTCTTCTCTTCCTCCTCCGATGTGGCCTCGTGGCTGTTGCTGCGTGGGAGGGGAATGGAGACGGCGGCTCCGATCGAGCTACTGCTCAGGATTCTTCGCAGGGAGCTTCCCACATAAGAGCTGGTATCGACGCAACCCACGTTGGAGACACTGGAATTTTCCGCAGAAACACAGTCACGAATGCGAAATCTGGGTGTTTTGTTCTTTCGGTCCTTGGCGCGAACCCATGACGCAATGACTTCGTTCCAATTGCGTTCGTCAATGGATTTTTTGAGTTTATCGTTGCGTCCACAGACGACCAAGACCTGTGAGTCAATCCCTTGAGAAACTAGTTCACAATAGAGAGCGTCAACAATGTTGGCAAGAGAGCCGACGCCCTCTCCACCTCCCATGACCAGAATCGTTTTGAAGTCTCCTTCTGTGAGAGGCAATTCCAATTCTTTTTGGATACTGCGCTGGTACGCCTTGCCTTCCGTGGACATGCGATCGCCTAGCTTTTCCGATTGTTCGGCAAAATCATGTCGAATGGGGAGTCCAATCTTGACGAGTTTTTCCTCCGGCACCTTGCCTCGATTTTTGGCCAACTCTTGGATTTGATCGGACCCCACAAACATCTTTTCCACGCCATTGGCAAACCACAAACAATGGGCTGATCCGAGATCTGTCACGACGGTGAACATGGGCAAGTTCTTTCCCGTCTCGGCGCTAATTTTCTTGCAACTCAGAACCGGGACATTGCACATGAGAGGATGGACACTGACGACCACATCTGGGTCGTATCCCTTGATCCGCCTTCGTACGGCACGCTCACACATGAGCTTCAAATGAGCGTCCGCCAACATTTCAAAGGCCCTCGAGTTGGAGACGCTGTAGACGAGTTTCCACTGAGCCGGATGTGAACTCAAGTGCTTGTAGTATCCCACCAGCGAGTTGTAGGGTGGGACTCCATCCTTTTCCACCACATCCAGCAGGTCGTACGTCGATCCAGGATACAGCAATTGGAACTGCCTCGCCAGAGATTCCGCACTCGCACGGTGGCCACCACCCGTGTCCGAAGACAAGAAGAGCACCTTCAATCCCTTCTTTTCCACAGGTTCCGGCACCGAATCTGATTCTGCCTTGATGTCTGATGCATCCGTATCATTCATGGTGGTGAGGAGAGCACAATCTGTGTCTACTGGTGCCAAGGTCATATTAAAACAGGTGCCTTTTTGCCTAATCTCTTGTTTGTTGTTGTTTGTTGTTTTTGCTTGGTGTGGTTTGTCTTTGTGGACGAATGAATCGAATCTCCACCGGTCTATGTGGTGTGAAATGTGAACACGAGTGTCGACCAGGCAAATTGCATTCGAATTGTTCGAATCACAAGCCAGAGAGGAAAGTCAGCGCTAATACGTAACGGTGCAACATGCCACGCATCATTGAAGCTTGTCGTGGGCATCTGCCGGCACGGCTCTTGACATGCAGGCGACCAAATAAATTTTGAGGGAGGAAACGGCTTCCCAATTTTTTGGTGGTGTCACGCATTGTGTGACCGCTGCAGCGAGCTACTCCAGTAGTCTAGTAGACTACGGTACGGCACTTGGTGGTACCGGTAGACTTCATGTACTCTATCGCAATGACTCTAAGCAGAGCAATGTGGAAGCACACTTGCTCCTGCCTGGACTGGTACGTCACCGTAGATAGGGTTAGGGTTATCAGGAGAACAGTCGCAGCAGGAGCCAATCCAAGCCAAATTGCTAGCAGCCACCAATCGAAGAGGACAATGGCGTCCTTTTCTTTTTTTGATTGAACGGCTACAAGCTACGCTACTAGCCTGTCGTTACCGCTACTGCTACTACTGCTTCTAGTGCTACTGCTACTGCCCTCAGCCGTCGGTCTGATAGCAGGAGCTCTGTTATTCGTTGAATGACCGGTCGTTGTGCCTTTCGGCCGATGACCGATCGATCCTTTTCCTCGGCCATGATGCGTTTCGCTAGCCCCATCTTGAGCGACACCAAATGGTGCTTCGTTTCCCCTCTTGAGCGACACCAACTGGTGCTTCACTCCCCTCTTGAGCGACACCAACTGGTGCTTCACTCCCCTCTTGAGCGACACCAACTGGTGCTTCGACTCCCCACCTCTTGAGCGACACCAACTGGTGCTTCACTCCTCTCTTGAGCGACACCAACTGGTGCTTTGCTCCCCTCCTCGGCCAACTGGCCCTGGAGTGTATCCTCTCCTCCTCCCGGTGTCGCCGTGCGTCCGACTCCAGGGCCATGGTCGATCTTCGCGATTTTCCTTTTCGCGATTTTCAACAACAACACCAGATCGGCCCTTAAGTCTTCGACTGATCGGCCCCTAAGTCT